ATACTATATGAAAAGTGCCTCTACCTAGAACATAAAATTGATGTCATCTTTCTGGAACTCATAGTTAAAAAGGGCACGTGTTTAACAGTATAGAGAGTACAACTAGGGATGGTTTTCTCCCCACAAAAATGAACCTTACTTGAGGTAATTTTAAAAGAAAGAGCATACTTTTGGTTACTCCTTTGAAAGAAAGATGTTACTTATATATATCAGTTAGTTCTTTGGGCATTGTGACTATCTTATACTTCTGTTGTTATGCTCTGGTTTGACTATGCTTTCCAGACTCTTGTTTTTTGGTTGGCTGTGCAATAACTTACAGTGATTAGGCTTTTTATTATTTTAGCAAATTTCTCATGAGTATATTATATAGCAGTGTGTATTTTCTGTTGCTGCCCAACAAATTACCCCAAAACCTAGCAGCTTAAAACAAGCATTTATGATCCCCTACATTTTCTGAGGGTCTGGAATCCACCAGGGGCTTAGCTGGCTGGGTCTAGTTTAGGGTCTCCTGAATTGTGCCGGTTAAGCTGCGGTCACCTGAAAGCTTCCCTGGGGCTGCGGCATCCATGTGCAAGATGGCTCACGCACATGCTGCTGTCAGGAAGCCTCGGCTTCTCCCCACGTGGCCCTCTCTGGAACGCTGCTTGAGTGTCCTTATGATATGGCAGCTAGCTTCCCGCAAAGTGGGTGTTTCAAGAAAGAGCAAGGTGGAATTGGAAATGCCTTTTATAATCTAGTCTCTGAAGTCACACTCTGTTGTCTCCATCTCATTTGTTAGAAGTGACTCATTAAGACCAGTGGGAATTCTAGACAGAGAAGTAGGATCCATCTATTGAAGGTACTGTCAGAGCACTTGTGGACATATTTTAGATCAACAATGGTAGATTGTTGTTTTTTTTAACCTGTGGAAAAGTATCACTTGTGAATACTAGTTTATATTCTAGCTGTGGTAATATACACTACATTGATATTGCACACGATAGGTCCTAAACCGTAAACTTAATTTATCAGTGAATGCCAAATAAATATATATGGTGTTAATGCTTTTATTAATCCAGTTTTTAAATGGATGTTGGTGTTCTGGGGCCCTCTTCTCTTTTCATTCTTAGAAGGCCATCTCATACAAAGCCATAGCTTCAAATACTCTATGCTGTTGACGTAGTAAATTTGTATCTTCAGTACCAAATGTGTCCTTTAAGCTTCGTGCCCATTAGACATTCCCTTTGGGTAATCTCAAATGTCTAAAATTGAACCCTTGATCTCTTCACTCCTTTCAAAATCTGCTTGTCCTCATTCCAGTAATTGCTCATGCCAGAAATGTAGAGATCTTTCTTTGACTCTCATTCTCCCTTACCCCACAATCTAATCCAGTACTAAGCCTTGTTGAGTCTGTTTATGAAATATACCTTGAACCCATCCACTGTACCACCACCACCCAAATCTTAACCACCATTGTCCCTCTCCTAAACTACTATACTGTCCTGCTCAACTGGTTTCTTTACTTCTGTTTTTGTCCCCTCCAGTCCATTATATAGAAACCAGATAATTGCCTTCCCATCCCACTTAGATTTAAATCCCAGATCTTTCATACGCTCTTGCCTGATCTGGTCCTTGTTTTTCCTGTTTCTTCAAACTCACATCCCATCAACTACCCCTTATTCTCACCATTTCAGAAATATCATTCTTCCATTGCTCTTTTCTGCCTCAAGATTCTTGTACAGGCTGTTCCTTATGCCTAGAACTCACCCCCTTTTCTTTACCTGGCTAACTCTAATTCTTCAGATCTCATCTTAAATGTTGCTTTTTAGCATGGCTTCCCTTAGTCTCTCCAGATGAGATTAGGTCACTACCCCATGCCTCTCTTGGACCTGGCACTTTTCTTTCCTCACACTTAGCACAAGTTATGATTACGTATGATTTGTACTGTCTTGTTTAGTGCCTCACTATCTTAATTGTCTTGTTTAATGACTAGGAACTCCGTGAAGACTGGGTCCGTTTTGCCCTCATCAGTCTATTCTCAGTGTCTAGTACAGAATCATGTATATAATAGGTACTTAATAAATATTTAGGGAATAAATTAATAGTCAGTGGCAAGAACACTGTTCCTGCAGGACTTCAGCATTAGAAGGAATCCGATGAATCACTTAATTGGTCTAGTCTCCTTTCCGTCATGTCTGTCATGTCCATCATGTCCTTGACAGAGGTGCATTCACACTTTGTTCCTTTGATATGCTGTGAGCAAAGGCCCCGATCTTTGAGTTGTAAGCTCAAGTGTAGTCATTTCCCTATCCTTTGCATTCCTGTCATTCCTCTCTAAAGTGTTCAAGAGGCCTGACCAGGTGGAATAAAGTAAGGTGGTGACCCTCTTTGATTACAGCAGTAGGTCTCCATCCCTGCTTGATAAGATTGCCTTCATGTCTCAGCAGTTGTCATAAGCACTGATGCATATTGAGCTGGTAGTCAGCTAAAACCTAACATTTTTCTTTTAAAGATTAAGGCTTTCCATTGTTGGGTTACAAATGAGGCAATTGAAGCCATTTTACCTTTAGCCTTCTGTTGGCTGATAGCTGTTCTCTATACAAGTTATTGTAGATCACACCTGTTACTTCCTGTGCCATGTTATAAACATGTATGAGAGGAGGAAACTTTATTGAGCACCCATTCTATACCAGGCTCTCCTACTTTATAATATATAATTTACATTGTGTAACATACATAAAATATCCAGCAGGGCAGTCTAGGGTAGCAGTTAACACATGGACTCTTGAATCAGATCTCCTTGATTAGAATTAGAGCCCTGCCACTTACCAGTAAATTCCTTAAACTGTGCTTGCCTCAGTTTCCTCATCTGTAAAATTAAAATAATAATCGCACCTACCTCACAGGGTAGTTGTGATGATTTGATAAATTAATATTAATATATTCAAAACATTTATAATGGTGCTGGCACATAATTAGAGGTGAATATGTATTAGCTATTACCTCATTTAGATCTTAAAATAATTATGAATTAATAATATAATTTCAGTTTTACAGATGAGGAAACTCATCCAGAGAGGGTAGGTTACTTATTTCAGGCAGATCGGGATTTGAACTTGTGCCCAGCATAGCAGTCACAGATGTTTATGGGAAGAAATCACACATAATCCCCTTCCAGTGACACGGACTGTGACTGTGGCAGGTGCTTAGAGTCTCCTCAGCTGCTCTGCAGGATGCTTTGGTTGTCCCTCTAATGAGACTAGACCACATATTAGCTTTAAATCAATTGATGAGGAAACAATGACTCTGGAAGATGGAACCAGTCCTAGCGATCAGTTTCGCCCAAGACCATGAGCTCCTTGCAGCGGGGACTGCCATACTCATATCTGTATCCTACCACCCTGCACTGATGTGTCATAGGCACTCCGAAAGTGCTGTTGGTGAGTGGGTGGCGGTATGGAGCTGGCGGAGCTAGTAGGAGAGGCCGAAATAATGCCAGGCTTTTTGTCACGGGTGACTGAAGACATGGCACTACCTCCCTCTGTGATAGCAAATGCAGGAGAAGGAGGCAGGCCTAGAGGGTTAAGAAGGAGAGAGAATGCATTGGATTTAGATGAGTGGTGTGTAATCCCAGTAGAGATACTTAGTAGGCAAATAGAAATATGACGGGAGAACAGGGTTGAAATTACACTGCAGACTGCTTTTGAATTTGAAACCTGGAACAAGTATCCCTAGAATCGCAATTGTGTAATTTCAAGAAGGGAGTTTTCCCAAGAAATGCTATTAAGTCACATTATGGATGTTGTTCTGTGATTATTTTAGATTTTACGTCTTACTGTCTCAGCATTATGTAGGTGGGAAGCAATTTAATTATATAGTAGAGAAGTGAGAAATTGTAGAGGTTTTAGAAGTCAGATGTTAAAATGCACAATATAAATGACACTCTATAAACCTTATTTCCTCAATACTGTAAGTGCCTTTGAAGAGCTAAGTAAAGTGAAAAATTCTTAGGTTGATAAAATAGAAAGCTCAGGTGGTTTATGGTAGAAATCATGCTGGGGGTAATTATGTCATGAATAAATAAAATCTTTTTCATTCAGGAATAGTTTAGGCTGAAATCAATAAAATCGAATTGTCTAAACCAATAGGATGGGAGAAAAAACAGAATTATATTCATCTATATACGAAATAGTGAGGGTTTTTTTGTTACCCATTTCAACTATTTTATAATTGCCAAATCTTAACTGGGGAGGTTAGATTTCACATCATCCATATTTTAAAAGCTCAATTTTATACTAATGAAGCCAGATTTACAATATTTTAGGAAAATAATTTTAAGATATATTTCTGTTGCTTTAATGATGAAGCACACTGCTTATTTAAATATGTGTGATTAGCTAGGCTTTCTCTTCTATGGAATAAATTATTTATTGCAAAGATTTGAGGTGTTTTTATCACATCTATTAGGATTTGAAAGATTATTGTTGAATAACTTCATATTTTAAATTCAGTTTTTCCTGCTTTATTCTTCGTATATTTAGAAATTGTTACTAATAAAATAATTAGAGTAGCCAGAAAAGACTATTGGGATTATTTAGTGTACTTGTTTTACATATGCTTAATCTGAGATCAGGAGAGGTGGCAGTCTATTTACTGAATTATTTAAGCTTTTGAATTACAGTGCCCTTTTGTTATTGTAAATAAACATAGCTTTAATCTTTAAAAATGTATTTCATTTCTGGGTGGCTCACTTGGTTAAGCTTCCAACTCTTGATTTCAGCTCAGGTCATGATCCCAGGGTTGTGAGATTGAGCCCCACATTGGGCTCCATGCTGGGCATGGAGCCTGCTTAACATTCTCTCTCCCTCTCCCCCTCCCCCATTCTCTCTCCCTCTCCCCCCACCCCGAAAGGTATTTCATTATTTAAAGGAATGTTTGAGCATTTGTTTTTCTCTCTTAGTTTTGAAAACTTCCCAGAATTCAATTATATTCATTACCTTTTTTATATTTTTATCTTTCAGGAGTCAAGAGAAAGCAGTGGAAGTTGGAGTCATTGTCAAGTGATTGAGACCTTTTGCAAGAAAATCTCTTTGAATAAAAGTCATTTAAATTAGTGACATAACAAGACCAGTTATTAGAGGTGACAGTGTACAGGAAACATTAAAATTGAACAATGACTCAGCTTTATATTTACATCAAATTATTGGGAGCCTATCTGGTCATCATTTCTTGTGTTCAAGGTAAATCAGTGTTCATTTAAGTAATCTTTTTCAATATTTTATTTCTATATTTAAAATACCCATTCTTGAAACTGCTTCTTCTACTTATGTGCCTTTTTGAACAGTTAGGCTCAGTATGCCAGCATAACTTTTTTTTTTTTTTTTTTAAAGGTTTTATTTATTTGACAGAGAGAAAGACAGCCAGAGAGGGAACACAAGCAGGGGGAGTGGGAGAGGGAGAAGCAGGCTTCCCACGGAGCAGGGAGCCCGATGTGGGGCTCGATCCCAGGACCCTGGGATCATGACCCGAGTTGAAGGCAGACGCTTAACGACTGAGCCACCCAGGCGCCCCGCCAGCATAACTTTTAAGTAAAAAGGCAAAGAACAAATACATGCCAGATAATTTTGAACTTGATTGTGATAGAAACATTTTCAGATATTTGTAAAATTTCAGCCTCTCTGAATCTGTTCTCTTATCCATAACATAGGCATTATGATATGCAACATTAAATCTTGTGAGGATTAAAGTATAAAATAAAGTATCTGTCCTAGTAAGACTAGGATACAGGGTAATAGGTACTCAAGACATAGTTTTAAAATTCCTTTCTCCTTTAAAATACAATACAGAATAAATGTAAATAATTTAAAAAATCATTTTGTCATCATTAAAAAACTTCAGAAAGGTAAGTTGCATTTGTATATGCTAAATACTAAAATTTCTTCATAGAATACTCAAAAGTTTTATTTATGAACAGCATTGTAATTTTGTGTTCATAGCTTGGAATTCCCAAACAGGAAATTACTGTGATGACTCTGAGGATCAGACAGGCTATATTTGCACATGGGATTTTTCCCAAATGGTTTAATTAGGACATTATTTCAAACTGAAGAGAGAGTACTGTTTTGCAAAAGGATTTTAGATTAAAGTTATTGGGTATCTTCAGTCTCTTAAGTTTATGTCATCACAGATTGTTCTTTCATAAAGTTTTCTTCGGAGTGATAAAGATTAATATCTACTAGCAAGAAATACAGTTAACAGCACAAATTTTTTGACAGTTTCATTTTTTTTTTTAATGTATTTATTTGAGAGAGAGAGAGAATCCCAAGCAGACTCCCTGCTGAACATGGAGCCCAATGTGGGGCTCAGCCGCATGACCCTGAGATCATGACCTGAGCGGAAACCAAGTGTCAGACACCTAACCTATTGAGCCATCCCAGGCACCCCTGATGTTTTCATTTTAAAGATAAAAATAAAATCTGTAGCTTCATATTTTGTCTTAGGTGTAATTGATACCATTAGTATTTTCTTGCTCAGAATACAGAGAGCCCTCTTCCAAAAGCCACCTTTTTTTGGTGAGATACCAAATTATTTAATAAAACACCTTTATTTTAACAACTCTTGTTATATGTCTTGTTGATCAGCGCCAGCCAAAGCTGTTTTGAAGATGAGTTAAATTAATAGCATATTTGCTACCTCACTCCCAGATAATTAGTATTTGATGTTAAATTTTTTTAAAAAATCTATATAGATCACACAGAGGCAGTGTAATTCAAAATTCTTTCCCCACCCTGATTCAAATTATTCTGTAATAAACTTTTATTAGATGAAATAAACTGGTCATTAGTTATTAGGTGTAAGCAAAAAATATCGGTAAGAATTACATTTCTGTGATGAATAGCCAAATGTGTTACATTTCCTTTCAAAAAGATTAGTTTGAGAGTTGCTTTAAATAAAATAAAAATATTTAGTCTTAAAACTAAAACCAATGTAGAAGAAAATGTTATTTCTTAGAGATTACTAAGGATTAGAAGTGGTGTTAGTGGAAATGACTTTAGCTTCAACTTTAGCTTCAGTTGTGTCACGGGAAAGTAAATTTCTCCATATTATTGGTTTCCTAGTTGTAAAATAGAAACAATAACATGTATCCTAGATGTAAACAGGAATTTTTGGAGCATTAGATGTTTTGATAAAGATTTAAGTCCTTTACATTGAGATAAAGTTATTCAGGTTGAATCAAAGAATGCGTCACCTGATACTAACATCTAATTGCTATTTAGTCCTTGTTTTTGGCTTGGTCACAAGTTTTAGAAATGGATTTTAGCTCTGAGAAACTGATTACCCAACAAACAGTGACTTAAACAAACAGATTTATTTTTTGATGTAGATGGTAGATATTTGCTGGTGCTCATTCAGTAGTTGAGTGGTGTCAAGGTTGACATTTGTAGTTTTCTTGGCTTTTCCCTAATGGTTACAAAACGGCTGCTGTTATCTGCATTGGAGGAAGGAAAAATGGGGAAAGGGTCAGCACTGACTTCAACTGCATGTTATTTCAGGAAAGCAAAATGTCCCCAGAAACCAGCCTTCTGCTGGCAGATTTTATTATGTTTTGTTGGATAAACTGAGACAGTTGCTAGGGCTACTGGACAACTGGGAGATGGGGTTGTCACAGTCAGTGTAGATTAATCTAAGTCCATTGCCTATGGCTGGACACATGTCCCGCCAGACAAAATCAGAGTTTGGTCAGTTAGGAAGATAGGGAAAATAGATATCCTTGGGACAACTTAAAAAGTCTTGAACAGATTCTTTCTCTTCTGTCAGTTAAGGTGTTTTCAGCTCTAAGTAACAACAACAACAAAAAACCCAATTCAAAATAGCTTAAACAATAAGGAAAATGTATTACAAAACAGGAAGTCTGACGGTAGGGGGACTTCAGTAAGTTAATTCCTTGGCTCTCATCAAGTTCTTTCTCTTTTTCAACTGTATTCTTCTCCACCTATTAATTTAGCCCTAGGTTAAACTGACTCCATGGCCACAATGTGGCTGCTGTGGGGCCAGAGATCCCATATAGATAGGGCAAATTTGAGTTGGCAGCATTCAGTAGAAGAGGGAATGGATGTCTCTCGTGTCTCTTTTTAATTGGTAAAGAAATCTTTCCCCAGGCACCTCTCCTGTTCCTTCCCCTTCCTTTTCCAGTGGACTTCCTTCTAACTTTATTGGCCAGAAGTAATTTATGCTCTTGTGTCAGCAGTGGCAAGGGGACTAGAACTAAAATTGTTGGATTAGACAAAACAGTTGTCTCTACTGAGGGTAGGGCTGTGCTTCCCTGAATCACATGGAGGAGGGGGCAAATATTTAAAAAAGGGTGTGTGTGTGTGTTTAGCAAGGTAAAGGGAAGAAGAACACCTAACAACAGTTGTTGCAGGGTACTACACCCGTCTACCTAATCTCATACATACCCTTCTCGCATGCATATGCTAGAAGTGCTCGTGTCAATGGAAATACTCAATTCCTCCTCAAAGGTATATATGTATATATAACCCAGAGGTTTATCCACTTAATGCACTCGGCCACTCATCCAAGACTTTTGGGTAGTATGTAACCTTGTCCACCAGATTCATATGGGCCTCTTCATGGTCTAGCAGTGGGTAGCTAAGAGAGAAATTGTTGGTGCCCAACACACCCAGTATTCAGTGATGAAGAAGAAATTGGATAAGTACTATATGAACTCCCATTCAGAAGGACAACTTGGAAGCCACCTTCAGTAGTCACCACTCCGTAGCACATAGATTAAGGAGAATTGTTACTGATCACTTCGTACATGCAAAGCATCGATGTCCCATTGGTCTCTCCAGCTCCCCTACCTTTTGCCTTCTGATTCCTATTCTAGACATTCTGTCTTAAGGACGGGGGAGGACTTTCTCTGCTTTGTACAAAGGAAGACCATAGATGACTGGGAAAGTAAGAAAAATTATTTAGTCAGGAAAAAAATTGTAAAATCATGGATGCCAAAAATTGCCATTAATGACAAAGGAAGCTGGTATAAATGTGTCTATATATAGTCACTTGTATCTTTTATCTGTTCATCTCTGTATTTATATATATTTGTGTTTTTTTCTCAGTTGTTACACTTGAGCATGTAAACTTTAAGTATTTTTTTGCATGTATTTGTTTGAAATACAACCTATAGCTTCAGCCCACCCCAGACCTCATAATTTTATGCTTTGTAAACACAAGACTAGTGAGTAGAAAGAGATTGGCATATTGTAGGAACTGACAGAAGGCTAGCATGCCTGAGCATGGTGGAGGGTAGGTGCTGTGAGTTGATGTTGGAGAGGTACACAGGGTCCAAATCCTGCTGGCGGTGGGCATGGTGAAGGAGATTGGAGTTTATTCTGAGTGCATGTGGAGCCATTAATTGGTTTTAAGCAGAGAGTGACAGGATCAGATTTATGTTTCTAAGATAACTCTGGCTCCGATGTGGGAAATGGATGGGAGGGCCCAAGAACAGAAGTAGGGAGGTGAGTGTGGAGATTCCTATCTCAGAAGTGGCACGGCATGATGGGGCCAGGTAATAGCAGTGGAGTTGGAAAAAAGTGGAAAAACTTGAGATCTATTTTGGAGATTGAGCCAAAAGACTTGGGGAGATGGGTTTGAGGAGATACGTTAATGAGTTCCATTTTGGACAAGTTAATTTTGAGATTACTTAAGCAGGTCAAGGCTGGAGGGGTAAATCTAGGAACTATCAACAAGGAGATTGTTTAGACCATGGGGTGGGTGCTGTCACCTAGGGAGATACTGCAGAGAGGCTGTTGCTTAGTTATTTTTCTCTGCATCCATGCCTCTGTTTAGGGAAATCTTGTAACTTTAAGATACAGCTTAGTTTTCATTGCTTTTGACACCTAGGCCGACTTTGTGTTACAGGCTCTTTCCTTCGTTTACCTTTGTATTATATCACTTTTCACAGTGTGTTTATTTATGTGCTTATTGTCCTTCCCCATTTCTCAAGGACCAGATCAGTTTCCAGCAATCGGTAACTTGCCTGCACGTAGCTGGCCTCTAATTAATGTTTTGTTAAATAAATATTTGAGGTAATATAAACCCCAGATGCAAGTTATTATAATTAGGATTTTTAATTTCCTAAATTCAGATAGTGTTTTGGGAAATTATGTGTATTAACCATGATATAACTTTGAATATTCTAGGTATTGGTGATCTTTTAGTATGATCTTTGTTATTAAATAATTTCTTCATTTGTACCCCATTTTATATGTAATTAAGCCCTTTATTATACATTCATTTCATCTGTATATAACCTTGAGTTGAATTGGGCAGGAATTATTATCGCCATTTTTTAGAGATAGAAGAAGTTCAGAGAGTAACATCTATGGATATATTTGGGAGTTGAACCCTTACCTTCACACTGTTATTTCCGTGTCATTTCTATCACACTATACTGCTTTTTCTGTGTATCACTAGATATTTGAAAAATTAATTGCATGTAGTATATTATTTACCATTTGCTCTCCATACTTAAATTAGTGCTTCCTTCTGTTATCGTAGTGGATTTTAAAGCTGGTGAAGAGACTTCAGGTGGCCTCTAGTCCTGTAGTCTTACTGAGTAAATGAGGTCTGAAGAAGTGACAGGGCTTGTCCATGATCATCCAGCTAACTAAACTGTGGTGGGACCATCGTAGGACCATAGTAGACCACGGTCCAGGTCGCCTCATTTTTAGCCTAGTGGATTTCTTCTATTCTTGGCCATCCCACCCTTTTGTTACTTTTTACAGTTGACATTCCTAACGTAAATGAGGTCTTTAAGCTTTGTTATCAATTTAAAGGGTTAAATGAAGATTATTAAAATTCAAGGCATGGAGTCACTAAAAAAAAATTAGCAGCACATTCTTTTCCTGTTATCAGTGTGTGTTTGTGTGTTACTTTTTCTTTTCAGTAGTTCATCATGGCTAAATTTAAAGTCAAGTCCACATTGGAGGAGCAAGATGGCAGAGGAGTAGGAGACCTAAAGTCAAGTCCACATTATGCTTGAACCACTTATTTAACATTTATAATGAAATGTTTATACACAATTCTCTTAATATTTTATTCCCTGGAGGTCAACCCTACAAGGAGTAGGCTAGCCAATTTCAGCTGATTCGGAGAGAGGGAGGAATTACTAAAACGTTTTAGTTCTTTTCTGCTTTCAGCCTGAAAGATTCAGTACCAAATATGACAGTATCTGTCATTTGAGGCTACTTGACTCTAATGCAAGAACACAGTTCTATTTTCATAAGCTAACTACTGCCCTACAGTAACCTTCAGTTTCTGGCAGCATAGGCTGGATTTGAACCAATGACCTTGAGATAAAAGGCACCAGATAATATGATTAGTCCCCATGCTCTCACAGTTCCCTTACTTAAGCAATTAAAGTCCAAAGCGAGATGCTTAGTAATTGCACTTCCACGCAGAGGCACAAATAAAGGACTTATTTTTTTTTAAGCTAGTCCCAAGTCTTGAGCCAAGGAGTTTAAGAACCATATTTGTGTATTTTTTTAATGATTGGAAACAATCTCAGACTTCCCTGAAATTGCTTCTCATTTTGTACCTTTCTTAAAGTCATGACCATATTCTTCTACCTTTGCCACATTGTTTTCCACTGTGCAAAATTTGTGACATAGTCCTCTCCATATGTCCCACAATACCTGGGACGGTTATTCTGTGTATAATAGGTTATTAACAAATGTTAAATGTATGAATGAAGTGTATTTTTAATTAAACACAGTAGCTGTCATACTGTAATAAGAAAACCTAGAAGCTTCTCATTGGAAATTGAAATTGAAAGAATTAGCTTTTCAGAAATGGTTTATTCACAGATTTCATATTTGAATACAGGGCAGAATCTAGACAGTATGCTCCACGGTACTGGGATGAAATCGGACTCTGACCAGAAAAAATCAGAAAATGGAGTAACCTTAGCACCAGAAGATACCTTGCCTTTTTTAAAGTGCTATTGCTCAGGACACTGCCCAGATGATGCTATTAATAACACATGCATGTAAGTATTTTATGCAGTCCTTCTTAAAGTTATGAGAATAGGAGCGCATTTGGTGCTATTTTAAGAATTGTTTACATTTTTTAAGGTTGTTGTTTTTTTTTTCTTTAATTTTATATGGTATCTTTCCAAAGAGCCAAAAAGCTTCTTGTTCTGTATATGGGAATATTTAGTACTACTACATGATTGATGGTTCTTTTCTTACAGTAACACTGTAATATCCTTTTTAAAGGAGATAAAAGGAATCTGGTATTTGTCTAACATTTTGAGTTTATTTAATAATCTTTTTATCATAAAGTTTACTGATACTTATTGTAGAAAATTTAGAGATTACCAAAAAAGAAATTCACCCAAAATCTTATAATTCTGAATTGGTTGAAATATTTTACAGAAAGATAGAAGTTGATACTGTGATACTTAATTTTATTTTACTTTCTTACAAGTGAGGTCCCAATCCAAATCTGATTTATATGACAGTTTTAAATTTTCCTACTTAATTTTATGTTAACTATTCAACACATTTATAAATGATCATATAATTCTATTCCATATTGTTTGGGGACACTGAAGAATTGGCTTACTAGCCAAAAAAATTCCCTGAACAACACAGTCTCATCAGTTAATTAACTGTGTCCCTGTTATGAAGGTAATAACGTCCTGCTTTGTACTTTCCTAATGATTGTATGCTCTTTGAATATCACCAGATATAAAGCCAAAAAGTATACATGTAAAATATTGAAATTATATGATAGTTCACCATGTCTTAGATTTGTTGTTTGTCCTCTGGTGGTAGTTGAATTTATTGTGACAGCCTGGATAATCTGTCATAGGGGAGTGTTCCACACTATGTCACCAGGTAATTTCTTGCCAAACTTATTGTCCGTAATACGTGCCTGATATGTGTGGGCTGTTAGTGGCTTAGTAATCCAGAATAACTGAAATCATTAATTTTAACAGAATTTTGCCCCACACTTAGCATTTTTCCTTACAAAAAAATTAATAATTCTGCAAGTCTTTTAAGTAGAAACAATATACTTACTGATATGAATAAGTAAGAGCACACAAAAAAGCTTTTGTTTTTATTTTTTTTAAGATTTTATTGATTTATTTGAGAGAGAGAGTGCATGCAAGTGGGAGGAGGGGCAGAGGGGAGAGGGAGAAAGAATCTCAAGCAGACTCCCAGCTGAGCATGGAGGCCCATACAGGGCTTGATCCCACAACCCTGAGACCATGAGCTGAGCCAGAATCCAAGAGTCAGACACAACCGACTGAGCTACCAGGCATCCCACAAAAATAAAATCTTTTACAAGTGGCTTCCTGCCCTTTAAAGTCTAAATGAATATATTAGGGGTAAACTCCAACATACTAATACTAAAATGACAACATTTCGTTAAATACATATATATGTAAATTTCTTGAAGCTGTTCAAAGTTATCCCTTTTTTCATATCACATTCAGTAAAACGCACCTCTCAGGATCTTAGTCAGTCTGTTATTCCCAAGTATATTTTTCTTTGTCGTTTAGTCTGGTTTTGTGTTTCATAAAAAAGTTGTTTTTATTTATTGTCTATGGTATGTGAATACTGAAAATCCCATGGATAAAAAGAGGAAGTCTTTTTTAAAAAAGATTTACTTATTTATTTGAGAGAGAGAGAACAAGTGTTTACGAGTTGGGGGAAGGGCGGCGGGGGAGAGAGAGAGCGCGCGAGTCTCAAGCGAGTCCCTACTGAACACGGAGTCTTGCTCACGGGGCTTGATCCCACGACCCCGAGATCGTGACCTGAGCCTGAGCTGAAACCAAGAGTCAGACACTCAGTTGATTGAGACACCTAGGTGCCCTAAAGAGACAGCCGTTTTTTAAACATTAAGATTCTTTACTTTGTAAAATTTTATAAATCAGCTTCCTGTGATCACATGGCTGTGATTAGCAAAGAGAAGTTACGTAATAATTCATATTTGGGGGACTCATTTTAAAAGAAATCTTTTTCCACCTTGGACCATTAGGTTTTAGTTCAGATGCCGAAACTCTTTCACTTGCTTGAAAACCCATAGAATTTTGCTGATAAATAACATGTGAATGCAGTTCTAGTTCAAAAAACAAGGTACTAAAGGTCATTAGTACCCAGTCACATTCAAATTGAGATTTAATTGGTACTTTCTGATGTGAAGTTATGTTTTTTGTTTTTTGGGGGGGTCTTTTCTTTTAGAACTAATGGGCATTGCTTTGCCATCATAGAAGAAGATGACCAGGGAGAAACCACATTAGCTTCAGGGTGTATGAAATATGAAGGATCTGACTTTCAGTGCAAGGTAAGATCTCATTTGGGGCCTATGCAATAAAGAAGGGAGGGACCACGTGAAAGTCTTCCTCTCTCCAGGAGAAATGTGCCTGATCTGCTCATCACTGTATGTTCTTGTAAATCAAATATATTGGAGGAAGCTTAGCTCTTGCTTCAAGTAGTAGGATTGTGGTAATTGAAGTTCCAGATTATTTTACTTTAAAAAAAAGTTTTAAATCATCCTGTTTTCAAATTGTCATGACTGCAAAAAATATTGTCACAGTATCACCCATGGATTATAAAATTGACTGGAAGGACTTTAGGGTGATGGGCAGTAACCTTTGTGTCCCTGGGACAAATTCAGTCCTTGTAAGGAAATCTCAGTGGAGCTATTTTAACAGTAGCAGCAAAGGCATCAGAGAGCTGGTAATAAAGAGTTTATGAACATCCTGATGGCTCTCGGGTATAAACCTATTCTCTTCAAAATCCCGTATAGTAATTTTGCCCCAGCAATCCTTCCAGTGGTTTTGAAAAACAGCTTCAGACAGAACTGTTTGTTCACAGATTTAGGGTTCGACTATTTTAGGAAGTTATTCCCATTTTAAGAAATTCTCAGGATTGATAGAAACTTTAAAGGTTCTGTGTTCCGACCTCTGCTAAAGTTGGGGATCCACACGTCTCCTCTATACATCCCCCTTCCCCCCCACAAACACGTTTTGCATCCCATCTGTTTTTTTAGTGCAATGCCTGTAGTGACAGGGGCTCCTTGCCTCCCAAGACCACCTGTTTCATCTGTACGAACTTTAGAAAGCTTTTCCTCCTAATGACTATAAATCTCTTCCTGCCCCTTTGGACCACAGAGGACAAATCTAAAGCCTCTTTTTTTTTTTTTTTTTAAAGATTTTATTTATTTACTTGAGAGAGAGAGAATGAGAGACAGAGAGCATGAGAGGGAG